ACTTCCCTTCACACCGGGCTGTATTTAAAACCTGTAGTTCCCTTCTAAAATAACACTACACTTATCATTATGTCGTTCGTTGTATTAACTGAATGTATGGGTGTTTTTTTATATATTTATTTAGGTAAGATTGGGGTCATTCATCTATTTTTTTCACTCTAAATCTGACCTGTATCCAATGTGCAAACAGGAGAGGGCTTAGGTACACATGGACGAGAAACCTGCTATTAAGCAAGTAGGGACAAATACTGGGTTATCTCGGTGAATGATTCTCTCTTTCTCTGCTTCTGACTCTCTCTTCGTCCTTATATATCTTTCTCGCTATTCTATTATATTTCCCTGACCGCGGCTGGCTGGGCTGTCTGTCTGGTTTAAGTGTTTTTTTTTTTTGTATATCTGTCGGTCTTTTTCTTTTATCTGTATTACGTATTTTCCCATTAACGCTTTTTTTCGTTCTCTCTCTCTATCTTTCGTTTTTTTTTTCTTAATCTGTCTGGCTGCTCCCCTTCTCTCTCTCTCTCTCTCTCTCTCTCTCTCTCTCTCTCTCTCTCTCTCTCTCTCTCTCTCTCTCTCTCTCTCTCTCTCTCTCTCTCTCTCTCTCTCTCTCTTTCTCTCTTTCTCTCTTTCTCTCTCTCTCGCTCTCTCGCTCTCTCGCTCTCTCGCTCTCTCGCTCTCTGTCTGTCTGTCTGTCTGTCTGTCTGTCTGTCTGTCTGTCTGTCTGTCTGTCTGTCTGTCTGTCTGTCTGTCTGTCTGTCTGTCTGTCTGTCTGTCTGTCAGTCTGTTCTGTCTGTCTTTTCTCTCTCTCTCTCTCTCTCTGTTTGTCTGTGCCTGTGTCTGCGTGTAATATAAGATAAGAGTATCGTAAGTTTGATGACTCAATCTCTAGTCACATGACAGATATGATGGTATTTCTCTCCAATTAGTAAAATTCAGTAAAATTTCCAAGTCAAGTTCAGAATTCTAAGTTCATTTCCCTAAAATTTTCAATAACAAAAAAAATAAAATTCCTCCACACATAGATATAAAGAAAACAAACAACTATCATGACCTAACTAAGCATAAGAGATCAAATGCATCTGAAATCGATAAATAAGAGGACGCATTTAGATTAAAAAAGAGATAAGAAAAAAAACTTTTAAACCCCAAAAAGAGATAAAATAAAAAACCCGAAGTGACGAGAAACAAATACTCTGAACGAACCATTGAGGAACAGGAGGAGGTGTGGCAACGAAGGAGGGAGTTAACACTTTGTCTTTTATTTCTTCCATTTTTGTCTCATTTCTTCGTCTCTTTAGCTCACCGTAGGACATGGTTCCTTGTCTGTGAAGCTCCTTGTGTTAGTGTGATACCCCAATACTGATTCTAAGACCTTTCTAAGATGGATTGGTTGTAATGGAGGTGATTATTATTGTGATGGTTGTTGTTAAAATGTTGTGATTTGTGTGGTGTAATAATTCTTCTTTTTTTTTTAAATTTTTTCCTTCCCCTTGCTTTGTTCACGCTTTTCAGGATATGAACATGTGCAATGCCTTTTCCCCTGGGTAAGATATGAATTGCATATTTTCTTCATTATTATTATCTATTATTATCTATTATTATCTATTATTATCTATTATTACCTGCATTGTTCACGGTTTTTCAGGCTTTGTGGAGTGATATCAGCATGTGGCTTTTGACAGATATGACAGTCATTCATTATCAGTGACAGTTGGGTGTTATTACGTGTCTTTTGTTGTTCAGGAAGCCTATATACAGTATTTAGATGTATAAATACAGTATATAGACACCTAAGTACTATATACCTATGTATAGTATTCAGGTGTTTTCTAGGAAAGATTGTTCATGATTAGTAATAAGCCCTTAATATCTTTGGTTTTTATTTTTCACTTTTCTTATCTATGATTAGTGTATATTTTTTTATTGCGAAATATGTATATGATCCTAGATTATGCTATCTGATTATTTTTATATATCATTATTATCATTATTATTATTAATGTCACCAGTTATTTTCCATGAGTATGATTTTTTAAGATCAGTATATAAATATAAGAGCTAGATTTGCATCAGGTGGGCCTAAATCGTCAGAAGACGCCCTTTCATCCACCATTCTCAGACAGTGGGCATTGTACCTGTTGCTGCCCCGGCAAAGAACAAACCACAAAGATTCGCCTGGCAAGATACATCTTGTAGACCTGCGTGGTGATTTATCGTCAACTAAGCAACCAGTTCAAACTCCATCTTGCTAGAATATACTTGGTGGAGGTCTGTCAATTTTTGCTGAATTTGCAAAGGCTGCAGCAGTCATCCAGTATTGTACCATTGTAGGCTTTAGAGCAAATATTGCAGCAAGGGTAATTCTGTACAGCATAGACACTTGTCACCAACTCCATGTCACAAATTCTTTTTTTCAGCAATCGCTTTTGCCATGAATGGGCTAGCCCTTTGAGTACTTTTTGGGGCGAGGATCAATGCCTTCACCTCAGTATGCTTGGCAAGATAGAGCTAAAACTCGGGAGCATCGAATGGACTTGGGTTATTAGCGATACCTTCCGTAATCTTGTTCCTATATTTGTGTTGTAATCGTTTGTGTGTGCAGATTATTTGTTATACCTGTGACTGCACCTTTTTGTCCATTAGAAAAATATAATTTTCAGTTTTCTCTAGCTTAGTGCATCCATATAGTAAGGATTAACCGTATCAAGTTTTATGTGGCTTTGAATAGTACACAGACAATAGATTTAATTGATAAGTTTCTAATTTCTAAAAGCATGTTGAGTGTCATACTAACATTTAGCTTATTACAAATGTCCAGTAAATATGCCTATATCATTAAAATGGAAGCTTTTATTTTGAAAAGTGGCAGTATATAATTCTACACATTATCCTGTTTCATAGATAAGAAAAGTGAAAAATAAAAACCAAAGATATTAAGGGCTTATTGGGGAAAGTTTTTGATATTGTAATTATATGGATAGTATATAGTTCTTGATGGTTAAAAAAAAACTATGGCACTATAGGCTTTTGCAAAGCATCATTTTATGTATAAATATTTATCTATTGCTCAGATCTATTTCCTTCTAAATGTTTTGAAGATAGGCACAGTAACTTTTTCCTGATAATTATATTGGCTGTTTTCCATCTACATCCACATGAACTTTCTGTGGCCTGTGATGGAAGGCCTAGTTTCAAGTCCATCCTGGTAATAGTGTAGTGTAAAATTGTTGTTACAGCTTCTTGGCTGTGTCATAAGTGCTTTGACAAAGGTTGACAAACTACCTCCACATATAGCCTGGAAAGATTGAGGATGGACAAGTATTTTTTTGATGGGAGGTCTACAAGTTCTAGGTTCTAGGATACCAGTATATGAATTTTGTTGTCATTTGTTTGAATGCTGAACATGTGGGTTCCTTTTAAACATTTACTTGTTTGATAGATCTTACTTAAATGACACTGTAAATTACAGATAACCCCCCCCCCAAAAAAAAAAGAAAAAAAAGAAAAAAAAAATACTATGAGTTAAGGAAGAAAAGTATATCCATTTTTTTTCCTAAACTATATTCCTTATTATATCCAGTATCATCTAAATTCATTATCCAAATTATTTATAGTTTTTTACATTGTTACTATGTGAAATTCAAATAGAAATTCATTGTGGTTTATTAATATTATCAATTGCTATTGAATCTTTTTATCATATATACTTTTTTGGACACAGATAATAGTCTTAACCTGCTGAGGACAAAGGAACATGCAATATTCTTGTACTTTTTTAAACATTATCTTGGGCTGTGGTACAATACCTTCATATCTACTTTTAGCTATACTGTGTTTGCATTTTATTTTTCTCTTTGAAAATGTATTATTAGACTTCTACATGGTGATCATTTTAGTACTAAGTATTCCTTTATGACATGATGTAGCATAATAATACCTACCTCCTATGGAAGGTAATATTATACTATCTGGTATGGGATACAAGGTAATATTTTCATTAATGTATAGTTAAAAGTTGAAAATAACAGCAACATCAAATGTAAATACTCATAATGGATATCTTGTTATGCAGAGACCAGCAAACTGGATGTAAAACATAATTCACTTAATATATTAAACACACTCACCTTTGCAGTAAGAAGACTGATGAACTGAGGCTGTTGCAAAGAGGGTGCTTCATCACGCGATGGCAGGAAACAGTGAACACATGGCATTATTAGAGGCTGTTGATAGCCGAAGCGAAGATGACATCTCTGCGCAGGAAAATGAAAGTTCAATAGAGCAGAATGTAAGTATTGCTTGTTGTATTTATTGTTTAAGTACATTCATCATCATCATCATCATCATCATCATCATCATCATCATCATCATCATCATCATCATCATCATCATCATCATCATCATCATCATCATCATCAATCAACATCATCATCATCAATCAACATCATCATCATCAATCAACATCATCATCATCAATCAACATCAGTCATCATCAATCAACATCATCATCATCAATCAACATCATCATCATCAATCAACATCAGTCATCATCAATCAACATCAGTCATCATCAATCAACATCAGTCATCATCAATCAACATCATCATCATCAATCAACATCATCATCATCAATCAACATCATCATCATCAATCATCATCAGTAATCATCAATCATCATCAATCATCATCAATCATCATCAATCATCATCAATCAACATCAATCATCATCAATCATCAATATTGCATTACTTGGTTACTTACATGGTTACTTGGTATAAGTTTAAGCAAGGGCTGTATTAGTGGCTCATGCTAGGACCATCCTGGGGACCACCTGTTTTCTTTCAGCTACTAAGAACTGACCTTGATGAGGGGTAGAAATGAACTCAGACCTTGTTATTTCACTACCAGTTGTTGGTGATTTCTCTGGTAGTGAATTTAACCAACAGTCTAATTATCCTTTAAACACTTCCACAGAGACCTGAGCTGTGTTTCTAATACTTTTTTTTTTGGTATGGTCTTGTCCCATTACTTAGGAAACTTTGTACATTTTACTTAATCAGGATGTTTGCTTGGAAATTCATATTGTTTTCACTTGTCTGTTTTAGATGGCAAGTAGGTCCTCTCCTAGTCTGTCTTCATTTCTCTTTTAAATTTAATGGCATATTTATCCTTGTGCTGGCAATAGAGTATATTACTTTATTGAATTTTTTTGACAATATTTTTAAGGGGTGAGGGGGGGGGGAGGTTTCTGTTAAGGAATTCTGTGGAATTTTGATGACTTGGAAGAATGGAACTGTTATCTTGCTTATCATTAAGGACTGTCGTGTTCTTATCTTTCCCTTATATTTTTTTTCTATAATTCCTAAAAGTGTGTCAAAGCAGTTACTTTGGATAACTAATAACTTATTTTTAACAGAATATTTAAGCCATTTATTTTGTAGAGTGTTTGAAACAACGACAAGAAGGAAGGTTAGAAAGATGGGAGGAAAGGAAAGAGGGAGTGGGGGATGTGGAAGGAATGTGACAGGAAGGGGAAGTAAAGGACTGAGGAGGGAAGTTGGGAAGGAAAGAAGGAAGTTGGGAAGGAAGGAAGAAAGGAAGGAAGGAAGAAAGGAAGGAAGGAAGAAAGGAAGGCAGGAAGAAAGGAAGGCAGGAAGGAAGGAAGGCAGGAAGGAAGGAAGGCAGGAAGGAAGGAAGGCAGGAAGGAAGGAAAGCAGGAAGGCAGGAAGGCAGGAAGGAAGGAAGGCAGGAAGGAAGGAAAGAAAGAAAGATTAACTGACTGACTGACTGACGAAATAAAGAAGAACAAATGGAAAGAAGGAGGGAAGAAAAAGTGAGATAAGGAGAAATATGAAAAATTAATTTAGATGTGTATTTTTTCATTTGATTATTTTTTGAGAGAGAGATACAAGAAACAATGCCCAAAGTGATATAACCTTTTCCACCAGATAAGCTATCTTGAATGGCACTCCCATGCCATTGTATTTATTGGACATGTACCCTTTCACAATGCTAGTCTATCAGGGAAAGCTTGATATACAACTGTTCAATCCAGCCATTACAATGGGGCTTTCTGAATATAGGCTTAGTAGTTTTTGTGGCAAAAAGGACAATGGATTTACAGCAAGGATTTCTGAGATTTAAAAAGAGATTTTTGACCAAGAAGAAAGACAACGAACAGGAAATGGTGACTATGAATCACCAAATTGATCTAAAAGGAAGAACATTTGAAAAGAGAAATCAATCAGTAAGTATTTCTCTTGTGCTCTTCTTGTTATTGTTAGTGAATGTGTCACTATTCAACATTAGATTAATTTTGGTGCTATTTATCAGTGGCTGAAAAGGAACAAAGGAACAAGCAAAAGAAATTATTTTGACATTTTGGTGTGGATCGTATGGTGGCTTAAGTGTTAAGGAGTAATAGATAATTTCCTAAACTGTGTCTACTAAGGATTAGGCCTAATGGAACCTCTAGGCCTACTACATGAAAAATGACACAGTATTTGAAATCATTAATTACATTGGTATAAAAATTTCATATTGGGCCAACTTTTTATAGAAGATGAGAAAGTTGCTGGTCCCTATATATTTTCTTTCATTTGCACATATGATTGAAAAGAATTGATGAGCCTAGTCCATACTTTGACCTCTCATACAAAAAAACTTCTCTTTGAGTGTCTAATTCATGATGTCATCAGCTAATAAGGACAACTTAGATGTGCTTCTGTGTGTCTCAGTTCAAAGGCAAAAAGATGCCTTGAACACACCAAATCCTGTATTTGTGGCTGGCAACTAATCCTGTCAGTGAGGCTTGGCAACAAGCAGAAAATTCTGGGGCAAATGGGTTAAGGATTATCATTGTGGTTTTGAGATTTCAGTAAGTAAAGAATATTTACTGCGTGGGAAAAATAAATTGTTTTGTAGACCTTTAATTTTGATTGGAATATGAAGATTATACTACCCACAAGTGTAATTAGAAAAAATGTGTGAAGAAGGAAGCATTAGTCAACCATTAAATATATCAGCAAGAAAATTGTACTTTGTAAGAGTAGCAAATTTGTAATATTTATAAAGCATAAATTTTTTATGTTAGTGGGAAGGTAGGTATTCATAAATGTTCTTGATAGTGTGGAGTCCTATTTCATGTGTAGTCTATGAGATAAATGCAAGAAACAGATATTATTCATCTTAATTTCCTAGCTTTAATTGATTTGCATTTATAACTGTTTGATTTTTAACAATTCTACTTTTTAGAAAATATCCTGTTCTTGATTTTGGTTTTAGTGCTTGTCAGCATGATATAAGTTTTTTTTTATCAATAGTAATTCAGTGAGTTTAATAAGCAAGGCACTATCTGCTTATTTTCCCCAAAATGTTTAAGCATTCCCTTATTAAACTGTTCCCTCATAATCAGTGACTATTAATATAGACCCATTTGTATTTTACTCTGCCTGAACCCTGTTTTTATGTATTTATTTTATTTATTTAATATGTTTTGTGTAGCCACTGGAGGAGGTTGTGATCTGGAGCTCATCTCTAATATTACCAATCTGATGAACTCGTCCTCTTGCACAGTGTACCCTGCCTGAATTCACTTTATTTTCATTTTTCTGCAGTTAACTCTTCCTTGTTCTAATTTTTCTTTTTTGATCGAGTTACTAAGGAAGTGGTATGTTTTCACTTTGGGTTCAGCACTACCTTTATTAGATCCATTAACAAGAACCCTTAGATATTATACTATGCCTGAATTCAATTTATTTATATATTTATTATGATTATGATTATTAATTAATTAATTTATTTATTCATTCATTCATTATTATTTTTTAAATTATTATTATTATTTATTTATTTATTTTTTTTACTGATTTTAAATTTTCCTTTCAGGCCCAGCACTATGTGAATGGGCTGAATGCACCTGAGGACGAGAACCTAGAGGCTGAATCTCATGAGGATGATTTGGCGAATGAGAATACTGTTGATGGAGGTTTGTCATTTTGACTGTTCTCTTTTGTTCTGTTTGTCACCTGCTGGGTTATGATTAAGTGATTATTAAATGGTGTATTATTATTGAAGTTGATAGTAATGGTAAAAACTGTGAAGTAATTGTAATATTAGTGATGCTACTAGTGAAATTGAGAAGGGTTTGAAATTATGCACTGCCTTTAGGAAAGATTAAGAAAGGGAAATAGAAAGAAGGAAAAATAAAAAAGTACAGAGAATTAACAGTAGTTTTTTGGAATAAGAAGAAAAGTGGTGACAAAGTTGTACAAAGTGTACTAAGTAGACATTACGTGATATGAATTGTAATTTATCCATTACAGTGAGGTTTGTAAATATGATTTTCTTTTTTGCTTAACAGGGAATGTAGGTGGTGAGGACAGTGATGAACGTGGGACTGCGCGTGCAAGTACATTTTATGTAGACCAGCAAGAGAGTCCGGCGCATGAGGACCGTGGGCAGCTAAACCTTTTGTCTGCAGCATTTGAGGTTATTTTTTGTAATTGTTTTCTATTGCCTTTCCTGCCTTTATTTTTGTCTGGAAAAGTAGATCTGTATGGACTTTATTTTATTCTTATTTCTTTATTTTTTATTTATTTTTTTCTTTAAATGGTAGAGATTTATGCCTGAGTGAAATGAGTACTTGTTGACAGTTCAAGACAGCTGTCTTCTTTTTTTTTGTCATATTTTTAATTAAATATATTGAAACATTACGAGAGACTCAATTGTACTTTTTTATTTATTTAATTTTTTTTTTCATACTAAGGCAAGATGCACCTGAGATGTTGATCATGATTAGCTGACTGCAACATGTCCAGATTTCAGTTGTTGTATTTCATCACTAACCTGTCAGTTATAGAACAATTATCTCCAATCTGTCACCCTGTCATCAGTCATGACCAATCTGTCAAGTGCATCTTCACCTCAAATTAACATTTAGTTGGGTGGTTTACCTGATTATTAGGATAGTTGGGTCTTTGATTGCATTTTGATAGTAATTAGTATGATCATTGATTAGTCATATTTTTGCTATACGTATTTTTTATGTAAATTAGATATAGATATACATTTCTAAAATTTATTTATTACACTTATTGTTTCCCCAACCAAAATCCAGAGTCTGGATTATGACACCTGCATCAACTCTGTCTGGCTGGATGAAGAAAGAACAAAAGGCTACACCTTCATCGTGAAAAAGGATGCTGCCCGTTGGCTTGTCGTCCTTATAACCGGGGTGCTGACGGCACTTGTGGCCTGTGCAATTGACATCACAATAGAGTGGTTGTCCAAGTTCAAATACTCGTGGTTAAAACAATGTATCCTTTTTTCTCTTTCCTTTCGGGATGGATTTATGATTTTACCATTTAGATTTTTTTTTTTAAACATTTTTGTATTTATTACATATAAGGTTTTTTGGATTTGCTATTTGTACTTACCAAAGACAGTTAACTGTTCCAGGCAACTAATTTCAAACACAGAGAAAAGTATCTTGTTATAGTATTTCTTTAGTATAGTGTTACTATATGCAGGTAATTCTAGTAACTTCAGAAAACCGTCTACATTCATTAATTAACTTAATTAGGTGTGTATTGGTAAACCAGATATTTGTATTTAAAGTAAACAGAATATCTGGATATTAGTTGCCTTTCCCTGAGGGACCCTGAGAGACCCTTCTGGGATGGAGTCGTGAAGTGTGCGTTGTTATTTTCTTTATGTATTTATCTATTTTTTCACATGGAAATTGAAATTTGTTATTCTTCTAATGTAGGATAACTTGTCTAAGATGAAACTTTTTTTTTCTATTTGTTTATTAATATATTTATTATTTAAATGAATTACAAGAAGTTAGTATTATCTAATGGTCCTTTTGGCAATTGCATATAATAGAAATATCAAAAATATTTTTATTGTTCTGCATTTCCTTAACTTTGGCATTAGATACGGATGAGGGTGTGGAAAATAATACTCTTGCTATTCCTTTTTTCCTTTGGGGTGCGTTAAATGTTGGCCCAGTCTTAATAGCAGCATTTTTAGGGTCTTATGTTGAGGTAAGTGTATAATATAAAATATTAGACAATTTAATTCAATTAATAAAGAATATTTTTGAAAGTTTGTAAGAGAAAAAACTGTCTGTATATATATATATATATATATATATATATATATATATATATATATATATATATATATATATATATATATATATATATATATATATGTATATATGTATATGTATATATGAATATATAATTAGTATATATGTATGTATGTATTTTTGGATTATTTTAAAAAATGACTGTTTCTTGTCAAAAGCCTGTGGCAGCAGGAAGTGGAATCCCCCAGGTGAAGTGCTACCTTAATGGTGTGAAGGTTCCCCGTGTGGTAAGAATAAAGACGCTCGCAAGCAAGGCCTTTGGCGTTACAATGTCAGTGCTTGGAGGATTGGCTGTAGGAAAGGCAAGTGCAGAGATAGTTGGTTTGGAAATGAATAGATATTTAGTAATGTTTTTATTCAAGGAGAAAATGCTAGGAATTAAAAGCTTAGGGTGGTGAAATCAGTGATTGTGTTTAAAGCTAGGTTTGATTTTTGAGGAATGCTGGAAAGAGAAGACCATTTGTATGTATAATCTCTTGGCATCATTTGGTGGAAATGTATATGGTCAACTGGAGCCAGGCACTGCAGTGTTGGATTTTTATAATTTCTTCCCTTGTCTTTCATGTTTTGGGTGTATTTTTGTACCTTGGTATAAGAAATACATTTCCCACTAAATTGCTGTTAATTGTTGCTTAAAGAAACAAACCTTCCAATGAATTACATTAATACACAAAGAAAAATAGTAATCCAGTATTTCAGGGCAGGGGATATAAAGGCTTAAAGGAGTGAGTTGTAAGTTTGAGTTTTGTTGAGTTTTGTAGTTTTCTTTCCAGACTCTGTAACTTTGTGGACTCTGATTGCATAATTATGTGTACATTGTAGAGAATGGTACTGTGCAAAAGTGCTATCAAAACATTTGAAAATATTAGAGAATAATATGTAATAGATTAAAAAAAAAAAAAAAAATCTAAGTAAGTCTAAGAATCAGGTCACTTAATCCTGGACTTACAGTTAAGTCTCCATCATCTTTTCCCAATCACAGGAAGGTCCAATGATTCACTCGGGTGCTGTCATAGCAGCGGGAGTTTCTCAGGGCAAGACGACCTCCTTCCAGCGGGACTTTGGTTTCTTTGAGTACTTTCGAGAGGACCATGAGAAGAGAGATTTTGTGTCTGCTGGTGCTGCTGCGGGTGTAGCTGCAGCATTTGGTGCCCCTGTTGGTGAGTTGTAAGATGTTTTTGTTTAAGGAAAATTTAAAATATTATTTGTTATTCCTTTCCTGAAATGTTGGGGAGGATAAAGAATAACAGACATGTTGTGCTAATAGAATAACAGAAAGACCCACTATGCATAAAATAACTTTATCTAATCATGTTATAAGAGCTGGATGATAACCCAGGTGCAGAGAGGTGCACCCTGGCCTAACCAGATGCAAGTAAATCAAGTAATATTTCACAAATGTTGTCACAGGTGGCGTGTTGTTCTCCTTGGAGGAAGGTGCAAGTTTCTGGAACCAGAGCCTCACTTGGAGAGTGTTCTTCGGAGCCATGATGTCTGTCTTTACACTTAACTTGGTCCTATCAGCATACAATGGTGTTCCTGGTGAGTACCGGACATGCCTTTGTGTAGGAATTATTTTTATTTTATTTCTTATATTTTATTTCATTCTGTAATTGCTAATATATTTATATAAGATACATATTCAGCATACTACTCTATATGTATTTAACTTATTTGTTTATTTCTTATATGCCAATTAGTTTATATGTGTTAACTTTTATCTTGCTTTTCAGGAAAGCTGGCATACAATGGACTCCTAAACTTCGGCAAATTTGACGACCTCACATACGAGATCTGGGAGTTCATTCCTTTCCTCCTGATGGGTATCATGGGAGGCTTGCTCGGTGCTTTGTACAACCACATCAACTTCAAACTCACCGCATTTAGGATGAAGTGAGTTCGAATTCTGTGTATGGAGGTTTGTGGTTTGACTTGGCAATTTGCAGTCTTAATATCATTTTTTTTTTTTTTTCCCTTTCTTCTTGAGGTTCCCTTTTGTGCTGTTTACTTTTACATTTTTTTGTGCTGTTTGCTTTCCTCGCCCTCCTCTTGTACTTCTTTACCTCTTGTTATCATGCCCTTGTTGTCATCACTGTCCTTGTCCTTGTTCCTCACCTTGTTCTCTTCCACTTACTTGTCCTTGGGCTCCTCCTCCTCCTCCTTATGCTCCTTCTCCTCCTCCCTGTCCTCTTCCATCTCCTCCCTGTCCTCTTCCATCTCCTCCCTGTCCTCTTCCTCCTCCTCCTCCCTGTCCTCTTCCTCCTCCTCCTCTGTCCTCTTCCTCCTCCTCCCTGTCCTCTTCCTCCTCCTCCCTGTCCTCTTCCTCTTCCTCCTCCTCCCTGTCCTCTTCCTCCTCCTCCTCCTCCCTGTCCTCTTCCTCTTCCTCCTCCTCCCTGTCCTCTTCCTCTTCCTCCTCCTCCCTGTCCTCTTCCTCCTCCTCCTCCTCCTCCCTGTCCTCTTCCTCTTCCTCCTCCTCCCTGTCCTCTTCCTCTTCCTCCTCCTCCCTGTCCTCTTCCTCCTCCTCCCTGTCCTCTTCCTCCTCCTCCTGCTAGTAATTTTACATTCTACTTTGGTAGTTGTTATTGAGCCATCAAAAGAAGGTTTCTCTGACAAGGACTGAGAATCCTAAAAAAAACTGATGATATGATTAGCCACTTCTAAAGCCCATGATTGATGCCATGTGTGTCATAGTGAAAATTATTATATATTTTTTTATATTAAAAAAAATTACTTTCATTCCAATGAAGATTATCTGAGCCTTCTTTTTCTTTACTCCACATCCTATTCCTCTTCCTACCCGTATGGTTCCTGATATACCACTGAGACAACAAAAAATTCCTACAGGTACATAAATAGGCCATGGCGTAAAATTGTTGAAGCTGTGTTTGTAGCTTTCATGACAGCTGTTGTTGCCTTCCTCATGATTTACTTACTTCATGATTGCCGTGAAATTGACACCAAGTCCTCTGAGTACCCAATTCAGGTCAGTAAGATCAAGGACGTGCGTGGTGTGTTGATTTTTGTGAACTGATAACACTGGATGCATTGGAACTCTTATTGTTAGTGACCTTAAGGTGAAGTACTTCAAAACCATAAATGTAATCAGAGGTATTGATATTCTAAGTGCTATTTAAATTCTTCATCTGTTTTGTATCCTCGTATAGATGTTTTGCAAGTATGGAGAAGAAAATGCAGCAGCTGCTATCTGGTTCCAGACACCAGAGAAGAGTGTTCGTTCTCTCTTTCATGATCCAACTGGTAAGAAAGAATTATAGTTTAGTTTACTAGGATTCACATTTACATAGTTGATTCTTTAGTAATGAAATGCTACTGAACATTACTGATTTTTTTATATTCTGCAACAGTACTGTGATTATTAATTAGATGTAATTGACTTTGTTTACTTTTTCTTAAGCAAAGGCTTGATAGCATGATATGGAACAGAAAGGCAAAACTCAAGTTCGAATGTTGTTTATTTGAATCTGATTTTGCAGTCAGATAGTGTCTGGTTAATGGTTTACCACATTATTTTTCTTTTCTTTTCACCACTAAAAGACTCGTTTTCATGGACAACCTTGGGAGTGTTCTTCACCTGCTACTTCTTCCTGGCTTGCTGGACATATGGCCTTGGTATCCCATCAGGCCTTTTCATCCCAACACTTCTGTGTGGTGCTGCCTGGGGTCGCCTTGTAGGAAAGCTTATGTCCCTGCTCTTCCCAGATCAGGTAAATAACTAGTAGCTTGTATAAGGACTTTTGTGTGTGTGAGTAATTGAGTAGGTGTGTAATGAGAATTGCTGATATTGGTTATAACTAAAAAATATGTGGTATAAATACACTATATGTGTATATATAATATTTTTGCAATATCAATGATATCATAGTCTTAGTAGTGGTCATGGAAGTGAGAAAATCTGCAGCTTTTTGGCAGCCTTTGATATTTAGTTTTTTATTGAGAATTGAAATTGATTTCCTAAAAGCATAGATAATAAAAGGAAGTCATAAAATGGTGTACTTACCTAAATCACTTAGGCTTGGGCTGATGAAGGCAAGTATGCTCTTGTGGGAGCTGGAGCAATGCTGGGTGGTGTCGTGCGCATGACACTGAGTCTGACAGTCATCTTGATGGAGTGTGTCGGCAACATTACCTTCGGCTTGCCACTGATGATCGTGTTGATGGTAGCCAAATGGGTTGGGGACTTTTTCAATGAGGTAAGGTTGAGTGATTTAATGTTTGGCAAGAAAGAAAAATTGTTTGTTTTTTCCTAGGAGATTTTCTCATTTCATTTTTCTCTTGATGTATATGAAAACTTTTATAGGTTTTAGAATGACAAGTTTTCAGTTATGTGATTATATTAAGGTTTAAGGAATAATGTAGTATATAGTTTTTTTGGTCAACCTGATCATATTTCAACTGGTGTAGGATATCTACTTACTGTTTGTATTAATTGATAATATAAGTTATGTACCAAAGGTGTTCTGTTTTCAACTTCAAATTTTAACTGGTATTTTCTTTTAAACTTGTTACAGGAATTAAATGGTTTATATTGCCATGTAGATGTATAAAAAAACATTTTCTTTTCACCTTCCAGGGCTTGTATGATATTCACATTCAGATGACTGGTGTACCAATTATGGCATGGGAGGCCCCACCTCTCTCAAATAATATTTATGCCTCGGAAGTAAGTCTTTTCTGTACTCTGATTAAGGGGAGAGCATCATGGGAGAGTGTTTTAAGATCAAAGGGCTTTGCCTGAGGAAGCGCTTGACATTTTGTTTTCCCCTTACTGTGCTGATTTATCCTAGTCAGTTACTTTAGTTGTTTACATATTTTTTATTTATGTATCTATGTATATGTATGTGTTTAAATCTGTATGAATTTATAGATATATATATATATATATATGATATGTGTGTATGTGTGTGTATGTATGTATGTATGTATATATGTATGCATATTTATATGTATATGTATTTGTATATGTATATGTATATGTATGTATGTATGTATGTATATATAAAATATATAATATATATGTGTGTGTATATGTGTGTGTATATGTGTGTGTATATGTGTGTGTATGTGTGTGTATATGTGTGTGTATATGTGTGTGTATATGTGTGTGTATATGTGTGTGTATATGTGTATATGTGTGTGTGTGTGTGTGTGTATATGTGTGTGTGTGTGTGTGTGTGTGTGTGTGTGTGTGTGTGTGTGTGTGTGTGTGTGTGTGTGTGTGTGTGTGTGTGTGTGTGTGTGTGTGTGTATGAGTGTGAGTGTGTTTATGTGTGTGTGTGTGTGTGTGTGTGTGTGTGTGTGTGTGTGTGTGTGTGTGTGTGTGTGTGTGTGTGTGTGTGTGTGTGTGTGTGTGTGTGTGTGTGTGTGTATGTATGTGTGTGTGTGTTTGTGTCTCTGTGTCTGTGTGTGTGTGTGTCTTGTGTATGTTTGTGTGTGTCTGTGTGGGGTCTCTAGGTTAATGTATGTATACAAGCATGTTTTGTATTTATAAAGTATACATAGTATATAAAATTCCTTTCCAGGTGATGAATCGTCCAGTTGTCTCCCTCCGCACAGTTGAGCGCGTGGGCCGTATTGTTGCAGTGCTCAAGTCTTATTCCTACAATGGCTTTCCAGTGGTTGACTCTCTTCCCACTGGGGAAGATGAACGTTACTTTAAGTCTTTCGGCACACTAAGAGGGCTCATTTTACGCTCTCAGCTAACCGTTTTGTTAAAACACAAGGTAGTGTGTTGATGCTGATCTTAATAGATAATTATTATTTTACTGAAATATTTTCTAATGATTCTGGTCTGTTAATGTAATATGTGGTTTTGTTATTATCATCATAAGTAGTCTCGCCCATTCCCCTTTTCATCGATTTACGAAAATATTTAACATTATCCTAATTTGCTGTTAAAAATAACACCATCTATATTTATAGCACTAGTAAGAATACGTTTTTTCCTGCCAATTCAAGGACAGGTGAAATCAAGACTAGAAGAATTAGTACTATTTGTTTCTTCTATTTAATATGACCTCTTGAAGATTGAAGATTGTCTTTATATAATATATTTTTTGCAAAGCCCTCCTATATCAAGGCAGTATTTAGAATTCAATAAATTCCTTGCAAATTACAGATATTTAATGAGAATGCAGAGATCTGGCAGGATGGCAAAGTGGACATCCACCTGTTCCGGCTCTCATATCCTCGCTACTACACCCTAGACCAGGTGAACCTTGACCAGGCAGACATGAATTGCACTGTTGACCTGCGACCATTCATCAATCCGTCCCCATATTCAGTTATGGCCTGCACAGCGCTGCCAAGGGTGTTCAATCTGTTCCGAGCACTGGGTTTGAGACACCTGATTGTGATCAACGACAATAATGAAGTAGTGGGCATGGTGACACGCAAGGACTTGGTCAAGTACAGGGTGTGGAAACACAGAGGGCAGATGGGCCTGGAGGAACTAGTCATTTATAATAATGTCTGAGAGGTGGGGCAAGTTTACAAATTGTATTCTTGTCTGGTAAGTTTGTGAATGCTAGGTTGTGAAAGAATTTGTTGTTGGGAGGTTATTGAGGAAGAAATTGCTAATGATTGCAAACATTTACAGTAGATTGGTGTGTAAACAACTATATTTCCTAATTATCTTTCTCTTCATTATTTATTTTGATTTTTTATATCTTACTTTTTTTGATATTTAAATCCCAAGGTTTTCTATATACCCTGTTTTTTATTTTTATTTTTTTTGATGTAGTAATGAATAATAATGGTGCTTATGAATTTTTTCAGTAACCTGAAGGTGTTGCTGAGTAGTAGATCTTCAGTGTAACTTTATGTACATGTTTTAGAATGCATTCATATTTTTGAAGCAGTGAACCTCTTGTAAGACCCCTGGTTTAGTGTGTTTAAAGAGAGATGGAAAAGACTTAAAAACCTGAAGTAGATCTATTAATTATTTAGCATGTTGTAGGCTTAGGTTGTATTTATACAGATCTTAGTTTTAAAAAAAAATTGGTTGTAATTTCTTTCTGAAAGGAATTAAGCCTGTATTTGTTGTGATCTTTAAGAGAAATTGTTCCATGTCAGAGAATATTAATTGTTATATTGTTGTTGACTATATTTAGAATTTATAGATATTTTTATATACATATATTAGGGTTCATATGATCTGACTGGTGTGCAGGGCATTGTCATTACCTAGAAATAGTTGGGATCAAAATAATTCTGAAATGTTAAATGTTCATAAGTGCAGATGATTTTATTGGAAGATGAATGTGAAAGTTAGAGACCAGTGATATTTTCTGAATTTAAAGATACTGTATACCCAAATGTAGTGATTACTTTATATAAAGTCAGTGCTAGTGTTTTCATTATATTTCCTGATGTCACTAAATTAGTATGAGATTTGCCAGCTATGTCTGTCATTTAATGTTATAACTGAGGTCTGGAGTGAATTTATGGGACTTAATTTGCTATTCATTTTATAGAATATTTAAAGTGCTTTTATATACATTAACAGTGTTAAAGGGATAGAGGTTATTTGTACTCTTATGTATTCATTGGAGAAAATTAAGTTTCTCTGCATATTTCTAGGTGATAGAGAGTGCCCTGTTATATGTGACTTAAGGTTACACATAAAGAGGCTCTTTTGACAAAGGATCTTGTAGTTTTGTAGTTTATGTGCCAGAAATTAAGTTATATTGTTAAGTATTTGAAATCAGTACCTTTCACATTTCATTACTCCTACAAAGTGAACTATTTTTTTTTATATTTGATTATATTCTCTTTCATTCCATGAATCCTTCCTTTACTTTTGTTGTTGTTTTTTTCTCCATCTGTGCCTCATGTGCACTATCTCCAACCTACTTAAAATCTTGTGTCGTGCGTTTTTGAACATGGAAGGAAATAACATAATTGTAGGAAGATTATTATTATTATTATTATTATTTTTTTTGTTTGATTGGGTATTGCCTGAATAAAAATTTCCTTCATATAAGCATTAGAACATCATCTTATGTGTATGTGTTAATATAATGTAAAGCCTTAGTTTATATAAATTTAGGGCTTGGGGAAAGGGAGAGACAAGAAGCCCACTTAAAGGTACTACATTGCGTATGTTATAAACATTTTCAGTTACATATTCAGGTAATTACTATTGGAATTGTGATGGGAGATTAGAAAGTTTATTAATTGTATTGTTAAGATGCATAAATTAATAGTTATAATTAGGGATGAATAGTGTTACTTGTACTTTTTGGAATTTTTCTTCTTGAAAATCTTAATAGACTAATAGTTAGAAGTTCAGTTATTGGCTAAATAGATTTCAAATTGTTTGAATCAGCAGCTATCTTGTTTAATGTCAGAATGTACAACATTTAAGGCCTTATGGGGACGTCTTTGACATTCATGTTGCATTTTTGTGTAGTCTAATATTAGAATTTCAGTGAGACGGGGTAACATTTTTTAGAAATTATGAATATTAGATTTGTACTGAAACTGATGAGTGTGATAGTTATTGAAGCTCTTTTGTATTGCATAAAATATATCAATTTTTTTAGCAAGTGGTTCTGGTAAAGTGCTCTAATAAATTTTTAGTTTCAATAACAAAATACCTCAGAAGGTACAAAGATCAGCTGCATGCTATGAAAATATTAGGAACCTCGAAGGAGGTATCATTTTCCCTAACACAAAACTGTAAACCTTCACGATGGGTCAGAATATCCCTTACAAATGATTCTTGGTGTCTTCCAATACTTTTTGCCAGGGACAGAACACACAGCCTTAACTAGTACTACAGATCATTCCATTTTGATATAGTGAACTGTAGAATAATTTTTACTGTGCTGTTTTTATTATCTTATGATTATATTGATGAAACAGAAATTGCTTTTCAGATTTCCAAAGAATTTTATACAGTAGAATAGCATCCTTATTGTTTAGATAAAGGATGCACAAATTTGCAGAAAGGCATTTGCATACACATTAACATAAGCACGTTACTGTTAGATGGAGGAGAAAGCTGTTGATTAAAAGTCTTTAGGGAGAATGACAAGTGTAATACAAAATTGCTGAAGAATTATATTAAATACAACTCGAGTGCGTTTTTGGTTCTTTATGTGATGCAGATTTAGACATGTTTTTTTAATTTTAATAAAGAATATGAAAACATTTTGACTGCTGAAATTCAAAACTAAGATAACGAGAAGTGTTGTTTTCAGAATATTTTAACTTTGTTAATTACTGAGTACTAGTCGTTTTTTATTACTGGGCTGTAATAGTGATAGAATCCATTACAGAAATGCATGACCAAAAGAGGACCTAAGGAAGGGACTGCTAACATATTTGTATATCATTCCATAATATAACTTGGTAATATAGAACAACTCAGGTGACACAGTCTACTTAAGACAGAAGAGTAGAGCAGGTGACATTTGTACTAAAGGCAAAGTAAACACAAATATGAAATGCAATTTTTCATGTATTATTTTCATATATGTTGTAAACTAATTTGTCTAGTCAAGAGGTATTATGTGTATGACTAGTATGCGATCATGAGAGAGTGATATTAGCTGAAATTAAACTCAAGTTGTGAGGGAAAACAAAAAGATTATGTATAGAATAGATGTCTGTGATTTATAACTATTTTGATGAAAATGTCGTTTCTTATCAAACTTTTACAAGGACCAATGCTCGTTTTTTTGTGATGTTCCTTTGCATTTTGTATTTATTTCGTTTGGCTGTATGCTAAAATTATTTGTAATATAATATCTAATGTATCCAGAAAATATATGATAAAAGAGTTTATTGACATGTGATTCTTTATTTATCCCAAATATAGCAG